TTTTGTCCTGTTGAATTCCAAGATAAAAGTAAACGAGACTACATTACACTTATTACCTGAGCACATTAAGTATTTGTTAATAGTTTATGATGTAAAAGATGAACATGAAGATTACAGCGGAAGGTTGGTAAAACTTTCTTTATACGTCTTATCATATCTATAACTACTTACTTCATTTGCATATATCGAGATGTGAAGAGCTACAATATTCACCACAGTAAACCTCACAGACCCAATGGTTAAAGGCAAAAGGCTATGCTCATGGTTTTGACAAAGGCTTTACTGTACTGAGCGTATCTCGCCTAAATAATGTGGACCTCACTCAAATACAACCAATTATTGACGAATCGAATCCCATAGTAGTAGTAGTAGTAGTTGTTGTTGTTGTTGTTAATGTTGTTTGTTTCCATATTTATCGACTTCAGGTTCAAGTGCTGTGTTGTGTACCAAGTGTGAGGAGGTTGATGAGGGTGGTAGCGGCATCAAGCTGATCTGTTGAGTTATTTAACATAAGACAAGTTTTTGTTTTCGTAGACTCGTTCGTACCCAAGAAACACCCCCCCCCCCCGGGCATACCTGATCTTGGCAAGCATAATATAATCTATTTTTTGTTTCCTCCCACCACGAGTGACAGAGTTGCTGGTTAACTAGAGTGAACAAATTTGATAACACGAGGATACATAATCAGAAAGAGAACAAATAATTCTGAACATTACGAGTAACATATAGGACGATTGTCGGTTCAACATCCTCCCTGTGTTTTAGAATCAATTTTATCCTCAAGTCACAAAAAGAACAATTTTTACAGGTGAAACTCTTGCCAAAAACACCCACTAATAATTTTTCTTAACTAGAAGTAACTAGCATCAATATATTTTGCATCTCGATAAGGTAAAAATTATTCAAAGTTGTTACTGACGAATACAAACTTGCTAACATAGACAATGAGTTGTTATACGCCTGTAGCAGACTTGAGGTGTAAAGTTAGTTATTTCTCACAGAACAGGTTTTAATTAAGAGCTTCCATGGCTTATTACACCTTCAGAGGCAGCAAGGTGTCGGTAAATGGTTCTTTGATTCAAAACAAGACTGAATTTTCCTATTTTTTTTATCTACATCTTGGTTTCCTTTCCACTTTAACATCAAAATTATTATTAAAATCAAACCTGTAAAACATATCTCAAAGTAACTCAAAGTTTTAATGGATGTAAGTGAGTTAGTTGATGATGGACGGTGTGTGTGAGTAAGAAGGTGAAGTGGTTTACCTGGTCGAGTGGCAGTAAGTGGTTATGTAGCCCGAGGCAGTGTGTGTCAGCAACAAGCATTAAGTGTGTGTGGATAATTTGTCTCTTCATGGTATATAAGTGTGTCTCATTACTTTGGACATTTACGATAACTCTTGTGGTCTAATAGGTGTCTGGTAGGCTGTGTGGTCTGGTCGTGTAAAACATATAATATAAATATCATAAAACACAATACTATACGAGTACACATAACACAATGGCTCCAAAGACTAACATCACCAACAGACTGACGATTAAACTATATTCCTTAATACGTCCTAACAGAAACGATATGCCTGTGTGTGTGTGTGTGAGGTATCGAGTGCAAACCTCACTGTGAATTACTGACCACCGAGCTGTTATTACAATAGATAAGAGGCAACAATTCGACACTCTTTCTAACCCTCCCACCACCATGAGTCAGAGGGTCATCCACATCGCCTTCAACCTTGTTATTTTTTTTACGTGGGTCGGTTTGTTTCTATCTGGAGAACTTAAAAGGCTTAAAATGAGTCAGGAACACAGAAGGATGTAGTGTGGGAGTGTTACCTGGAGAAACCTCGAGTGAGATGACGATAATATTACGGTTAGAGAGTCGATCGTCACACTTAGCAACGCAGGTACGAGAGGCGATGACCTTCTTGAATTTCTCCCAGTGATGTTGTCCACTCTGATGACACACACAAACACACACACACACACACTAACCCCCTCTACACACACATACACACACACTAACCCCCTCCACACACACACGCACACACTAACTCGCTCCACACACACACACACGTAAATAATATATCTGTAGCGTATTGAATGTCTCTAGATTAAAAAATATATATTAAATATTATCTAACGTCAGGTTCTCAGGGTAGCGTCTGATGCCATGACCCGTCTTAGAGACCCACAAACCTTAGTCCTGGCTACTCCTACGTCTCCTCATATTCAAGGCACAGACTATATCCAAACGGCCTCTGGAATACTGAAAATCTGAATATAATTTTTCGTTCTCTAGAGTAAAGTTTTCTTGAGTCGGACACCATTCTTTCAGGTAATTAGTTACATGGGAATACAATCTTACCGTCCGTTTGTGCGTCCGTCCGTCAACTGTAAACAGACGACTAAGAAAATAGCATTACTTGAATTGAGCCAATCTCACTGGGCAAAAAACACCCTCCAGGGACTCGATAATCAGCAATTTTCTATGATTAACCTAACCTAACCTAACCTGATAGAGACGCTGTGGTGTCACCTGAAACGGATGGTGTATGTCGTCTCGGGCCACACTCCTCCTCAGTCCCCCAGTTCGTATCCCTGTCCTGGCTGGCTGAGTCACATGAATTTAAAAAGAAAGCCACAGAATTCTTTCATCGAGGTCATATTATTTGTCTGCTAATGTAAAAACCTGTTATAATTTCTCGGTCTAATCATTTTTTCAAGACTTTCTCAAGTATTTACAGTGAATTATTGACAAATTTCCGACGTATCCGGTAATCTCAAAGTCATTTCAGGATATCCGGTGTGTGTGTGTGTGTGTGTACGGTCATTACACTATTATGCTAGTGTTGGGTGTGGTCTCGTGGGGTTCGTTTAGAGCAAGAAGCAGGAGGTCAGACCAGAGGTGTGTAATTTAAGTCCTTCTGGTGATCCGCTGACAGGTGGAGGAACTTGAGGTAACATAGTTGTGGTTAAATATATTGTTTTTCTCGTATTATTCATTGTATTCACTATATATTTTTTCCTTTGCTGTCAGTCTTCCTTTCCTTTGTTATTCATATTTTTTTCCTTAATTTACGTTGTTGTTGAGAATTATTTGTCGATAAAAAAAACCCATCAGAAGTACTTAATAGTGGATGATTCTATTTGTGTTCATTATCAGACTTCTTTATTCCTGTCTCACACTGTTTCTCACTCACCCTCTGTCTCTCACGCACCCTCTGTCTATCCCGCACTGTCTCACTCACCCTCTGTAACATCCACCGCCTAGTCTTCGCCTCGTGTACTCCCCCAGCAGGCGGCTCATGTGCCTCAGTAATGGCGGCTTTGTACCCACTATTCACCTCAGCGCAACAAAGACCGCCTCTGTTTTCCCTCATGTCCTTCACTGCTCCTGAAGGTGACACTGTCTCCTGCCGCATTTCAGACACTTTAATCCTGAAGTTTGTTTGTTTTCACGAGAGACATTGTTCTAATTCATGTCAGGTTAAGAAACAGAGCGACGCCAAGATGTACTTTTAAACATATGAAGGCATTTACCATAAGGAGAGAACGGTATACCATGAGAAATATTTGAGAATTCTCAGTATTAGCCTGATCCCATGAAAACCTTCCTCCCGGTATACGATTCAAAGATAATTTCAGATCATGAAGGCTTCAGTATCACCTATTATAATATGTATTCTTAAATTTCTGGCTTAACTCCATATTTTGCTAAGACAGTGGTAGTTATGGTAACAGTATCTTACCTCTGTGTTCCGTAGTAACGAGTCTTTAGGTGATAAACCATATACCAATACTACAATGGTTTGATAAGACGAAATAATGTAGTGAACAATATTTAGAATGAGGACAGGGTCTTGTGTCAGTCTGAAGCAATACGGGGCACGGGTAGGTTTTCCCTCACCATCCGGACACTGTACATCACAAGACACCCCCCACCAAGTCTAGGTCATCACAGGTCATCACTGTTCACCTGTGCCACTAACCCACGAGAGAACAAAGCAACTCATATCACCCGCCACTCACCTCAACTCACCACCATCAACCATAACCTCACCACCATCAACCATAACCTCACCACCATCAACCAAAACCTCACCATTTTCCCACATCGCCTCTCGTGCGCTAGGCTCTTCAACGGAGTCTTATCAACACACTCTAGACCAGGGGTTCTCAACCAGGGGGGGGGGAATTTCCCCCCCCTCAGGTTTTCAGGGGGGGGGGAACTGATACTAATATGGAAAAAATAAAGGATTTTCAGTATTATATGCATATTATTTGGAATGCACTTTTTGAGGCAGACAATCTTGGAAAGGAGGGGGGAATGACATTCTGACATGGTGAAAGGGGAGCATGGGGCAAACAAGGTTGAGAACCACTGCTCTAGAGGCTCCATTCTTACCCCCGCTAAGCCTTAACCCCCAAACAACTAAGTTTCACCTTTTCACACCTGACCTACTTCCCTGGGTCACTCCTTCATCCCCCCGGCCCTGGCTGTACTGGGTCACTGTTACATTTTCTTGCGGCGAGTGATTCATGATTGGCGAGTGATTCGTGATTGGCGAGTGACTACAATGGATATAATGCGATCTCTTGAAATGATAATGTATAATGATCCTTGATGTTGTTCCGGAAGAGTTTCTGGGAGGTACTTAAGACTCCTGTGTACCTCTAAATAAACATTCCTACTTGGCCATAAACAATTTGTTGCAGACTCATGATGTAAAATTTCTAATACCCATTTGTGATCACATGACTGACCTCAACTTGTGCTTTCTCAAACTCTCTTTCTCTCCAGCCACGGCCATAAATTCACCCCCCCCCCCCCCCCCCCTCTCCCCTCCTTCTTGCCTCTTCATTGTCCACACCTACTTCTCACACACACATTGTCTCTCTCTCTCCTTTCCCTCCATCTGTGTTGTTGGAGCTTCAGTATCGCCTGCCACACCCTCTACCTCTTGTGGTTGGATAGTAACTAACATACGATTTTTGTTCCAGATGTCTTGGGTCTACCTTCTCTTCTCTGCCGCGCTGGTGATTGGCTCAACCCTCGCCGAGATGGAAGTCGACGCGACCAATCAGGTTCGTGTCTCAATCCCTGCTTGACTCTCATTGGCCCTCCTTATGTACGGTTTAGAAATAGAAATATTTATGACATCTCTGTTTTTGATTAGTCATGCAGGTTATGCCGTTGGAGGAATATGTAAAGAAACATCCGATAGTCAGCTTAAACTAACTCCTGATCCCTACATGAAAACATAATTCAGTGATAAAAACAATAAACCAAGAGAAATTCAAGGGGCTTCTATCTATCTAGCTATCAATTATCTTATCCTCCTCCTCACACCCCAATTTATGTACGGTGGAGAGAGAGAGAAAATGGAAAGATGAGAAGAGAAAAATGGACGACAAAATGTGGAACAAGAAAAGTTTAGAAATCGAGGAGGAGAAAAGTGAAAGCTCACGCTATCAACTCCTTACTGTACACACTCACGTAACTCTCACACTCATATAACTCGCCAGTAACTTTAGTTTTTAGTCCGGCACTCATGACTTCGCTGTTTAAACATCCTCCACTTATTTCAGGTTCATCTTGGTGAAGACGGTGCGGTTGAAGGTCGAGCATGTGCGACCTGCCATGGTGGGGCGGAGACTATCTCCTCGGTCCCCTACGGTTCTGGTGGCCTGGACGTTGGTGACCATGGCACCTTCATCCCTACAGGACACTTTGACTTGTTTGGTGGACTCTTCAGCGCCATCGGGGGTCTGGGTACTGGTGTGTTCGCTATCCCCATCCTCGCTGTCAACATTGCCATACTCGTTCTTCTGGCTATCTTGTTGGGTATGTTGGTCTGTCTGTCTGTCTCTCTCGTTTATTCCATCTTTGTTTGTATTATTCATTCTGTCCGTCAGTTATTATTTTACTCTTTGTGTAATAGTCTCTCATTCTCTCTTTGTGAAACCCTTAAATCTATTAATAAACTCTTTGTCGTTCACAGCTCACGTGAAGCAGCTGGGAGGATATGGTGACACCGGCTCCGTGGACCCCATCATCCACTACGCCCCCGTCCCATCTTACAGCAGCGGTGTAGGTGTTGGTGGCGGCTCAACCTACCAGTCCTACGATTCCGGTGCCGGCGGCTACAGCAAGAGATCCACTGAGGAGGCAAGAGGCCTTCCCTCTCCCTCCACCTTCCAGTTCCTCTCCAAGATGGTTGCCGACGCCATCAGCAAGTACAGCGAGATGGAGTCCGAGGGGGCAGCCTCCAGCGACGCGAAGTAAATGGTAACTAAGTAAGACTAACCCAGGCCGGACGTGACAAAATAGAATACGTTCCTAGACGAGACTTACTTGTTACCGTAGTTCAAGACTCAGCTGTGACTAAAAACTGCGACGACGTTCACATGTAATGCAATATTAGATAGTGAACGTACAAAGAGACAATTAATGAACAAGACTGGCTGTGGATTCTAATTTTTACCAGGTAACTCTGTCAGGGAGACTACCAGCCAGACAGTCAGTCGACAGAGGGTGATGACGTGGCTCATGCTAGGTCGGCTGATAACAGAGACAAGACAAATGGACAAACTGAAGTCAAGAACACAGACTGACGACGAATTCTACGGACAAACCAAAACGGCAATACAGTTTGTGATGAACTGATACAGACAAAACCTGACAAGATACGGCAAGACACTTTAGACTCGACTTACTGATGCCTGTGATAAATAACTTATATTACTAATAGACAGACAATCACGGGTAACATATATCACAATGAAATGACAAGTTTACCAGTAAGAGGTGCTGGCGTAGGTCTCGAGTGATTTACATATCGTGGCTGGTGACAGAGATGCTAGACGCTGTACGACTCTACGACGGACATGGAACTACAAAACTGAAGGTGATTTCATCTCCCTGCTGACTCGACCGACACCCTAGACTACTGGCTGCTGAAGACGACGACTTTCTATCTCTCTCTTTTTCTTCATAGGATGACAGCTTGACAATCCTCACATTCTTGGATATTTTAACCTTCATACGTTTGGCAGACTTAAGACATTATGACGACAGTAGTGAACATACTTACGGGCGAGGTTTGGGGCAAATTTGGATGTTATGACAATCGTGAGACTTACGTGACTCACTGGGGGACGTGACAGGGACAATCTCTTCATGGCGTTGTCTCGAGACATTATGACATCAATGGACAACGTGTTGACTTTTGTGGGCGACGTCTTCACGTTCTGAGAAGACACTGACAGGGGCGACTACTTGAAGTCATGGACATACTGAGACTGATGGACGACGCATCACATCAACCTTTCGACGTATTGACTCACTTGGGCGACATTGAACTCTGACAGTCTTGGACATTCTGACCCCCAGGGAGGACAGAGGGACCTCAGGGAGGACATAGGGACCTTAGGGACGTAGACTGTCCACACGTCTAGGCATCGTCAGTTTTTGTCATCATCGTCTCCCACAACACTTTCTTATAGGGAGAGTTAACTAGACGATGGTTGAAATATCCTGTAGTATTACATAAAGAAAATATTACCACTGTAAGGACTCTTACGACAGTACGAGTTAAGGACTCTTTAATTACTCTGAAAACGATGACAAAAACTGGATAAGCCACATGACAGCCAACATTACGCTTGTAAATATTTGAAATTATTTTTAAATTTAATATATATATATATATATATATATATATATATATATATATATATATATATATATATATATATATATATATATATATATATATATATATATATATATATATATATATATATATACACGTTACATTGGTGGGTAGGTTAAATTTCGTAAATTCATAATCCACACGAGTGTTCTTGTGGTCCAGATGTATGGGTTCGTTACCATGTGATACATATCAGACCTTAACACTAACGTCCACACAATAGACTTTATCTCTTCGTAAACAAGACTGTTAACACAACCAGGTGCTTCAAGGTGTTTACCATACTCAGTAAATATAATTTCATTAGGTTGTTCAACAGGATGATTCATACGATTTATTACCTTAAATAAAAGTGACAGCCGTGACGCCGCGGATGATAAGAATCACTTGCATGAGAAGAATTCTATTGTGCTATATTATGATGATAGTTGTATTTATTTCTCATAGTGGGTTGGTTACCATGACAGTTCTTCAGGCTATAGGAATATATTATTGGGACTCTCAAGTTCTACCTTAAATAACGTCGATAATTCTCCCCTTAAACCCATACAAAGCTGACCGGAATTTGGCAAACTTCTCTTTCCTCTGATGACAAACCTTCTCATCCCAGCCTAACACTCATTCAGATGTGTGAACGCCTTTCCTTCTCCTTAAGAGGATCAAAACCCTTATCTATCATGGCGAAAACGACCGCCATCTGTCTTAGCTCATGTAGTGAACATTATAACTGATAGAAACTGCTCTCCCGTTTTTTGTAGTCCAGAACATTATTGTGTTGGATGAACCAGCTCTCTACCGGATGTGTTCTTTACCTCTGTACAGAAGAATCACTTAATGCGCAGTTAAATCAAAACACGTGATTGTTGTTTTAAGGAAGTAACGAGGAAAACAATCAATCTACCCCCATGTCATTATCTTCCATTGAGGTCCCCCAAACTAGCGTTTAACAGATCTATGTAGCCTCACCGTTGATGGAGTCTTAATACTCATCTCCCGTCTGCTGTGATAAGGCGAGGAGGCTGTGTTTGACGTTCAGGATTATTACTACAGGTAGACGCTGACGCAGGTAATCACACCTTTGTTGTTCTCTGTTATACCTGTCTTCTATTTTATCTACACTACTAATGTTCTCTGCTGGCGGGGAATCATTAGTATCCTGTTATTTATTTTTATTTATTTTCTTATAATTATTTAATAAAATTATGGTTGGAATAATTTACTCTTATTTATCCTAAACAACATTGAGACTTACGTGATGTAATAATAATAATAATAATAATAATATGAAGAATATGAAGAATAACACCAAGAACAACAAGAACAGGAGAACAAGAATATGAACAGATACAGGTGTAAACTACTGTTCTCTGACATCTATTAAACACACCTTGTTGACTACTGAAGGATAAACAACAGATCCTGAAAGTCAGATAAATATCCAACATCCTTTGGTCTATGAAGTCTTAACTATCCAGGATTTGCCTTTGAGATTTATAACCACATTCCTTATTATCTTCTACATTCATCACTAATTACAGGTATGAATTAATGACCCAGATGAAGAAAATACACCACTCATAATTAATTACCTTAATGATCATAGTGAAATAAAGTAACTATGATATGTAAATTAAACTTGAATGATAGTCTTGGGTTAGACTTTGCTTGGGAGATTGGTATCCCCGCATCCCCTGAGCAACGCTCTTGTGCATTATGCAGAAGACCCGACAGCCGCACCCTTATCCACTACCTCCTAAGATGTCCCCACACACAACGCTTCCGTGATGCCTGCTGGACCACCACTCCACGACCCCCTGACGGAGACACGATGATCCTCCCCATACTGGCCAGATATTATGTAAATAACATTGATTATGTGTTAAAGAAATATTCTTCCTTCCTTAGGCTTTAGTAAGCCCCTTTATAATATTTATACTGTATATACTTGTTACACTTGCCAGATGCTACTGGTGTTATTGTACAGGGGTACCTAGTGACAGCACTAGGATCCCACTTCCTCTATCAAGGAATAAACAATTGAAATTGAAATTGAAAATGATAGTCAATCAATTTCTAGTGATTTATGGAAGTTGATTTTTTTCTTATGAGTCAAGAGTTTACGCCACAGGTGTACAGTACATAGACAGGTAAAGGTAAATAATGTTAAGGGCAAAATACCACAGTAGATGATGATCCACCAACAATCGTCGTATGATTATTTTATTTTCCTAGTTGAATGTTTTCTTAATTAAACGATACATGAAAGATATTAAAGGTCTGACAAGGTTAAACCAGAGAGATACGACCCTTTGATTGCACAGATACGAAATGAAAAAAAAACGTGTCTACGAATGGAAGAATTGGTGAGGCTCATGTGAATGGACTAGAAACAGATGTAAAACGAGTCTCTCGGTATTAGAGGAATAAACTCAGAAAGCGTCACGACCTGGAGACTAAGATAACGTAAGATAACAGCGCCGTGTAAGGCCACCAAATGATCGGAGCTTCTGAGAAAGACATGAAAAGATAGAGTATGTCTGGTTTAGGTTGACCAGGACAGCGACGTCTACTTATTACTGAGCGTGGCTGAGGTGAGCGGGTGAGTTTATGAATGGCTGAGAGTAATAATTTGAGAGTGGGTGTATCTGAGAGTGTCTGAGAGTAAGAATCTGAGTCTGAGTGTGTCTGAGAGTAAGAATCTGAGAGTGTCTGAGAGTAAGAATCTGAGTCTGAGAGTGTCTGAGAGTAAGAATCTGAGTGCGAGTGTGTCTGAGTGAGAATGGCTGAGTCAGATGTATTGCAGGATATGACAAAGAGTTATATTTCCGTACAAAACATGAAACAAAGAAATAAGAGCAAATTGCAATGTTAAACACAAGGTAATTTAGTATGTGGTGAGAGATGATGACGACCAATACTGACAGAGCAAAGTGATATAAAATTTGTATAGAGCCTATGAGTTATACCTTAAGATTAGCCCCCTGACTAATTTACGCTAACCTAACCGAACCACAACCGAACCTAACCACAACCGAACCGATCCTAGCCACAACCGAACCGATCCTAGCCACAACCGAACCGATCCTAGCCACAACCGAACCGATCCTAGCCACAACCGAACCGATCCTAGCCACAACCGAACCGATCCTAGCCACAACCTAACCTAACCTAACCTATTCTATCATCATCCCAGACGGCCAGTGGAGGACGTAGAGAAGGTCGATATTGTACACTGATGGAGGGTTAAGAGGCCACACTCCCCCAGTACACTGATGGAGGGTTAAGAGGCCACATTCCCCCAGTACACTGATGGAGGGTTAAGAGGCCACACTCCCCCAGTACACTGATGGAGGGTTAAGAGCCACCCCCCAGTACACTGATGGAGGGTTAAGAGTACACTCCCCCAGTACACTGATGAGGGTTAAGAGGCCACACTCCCCAGTACACTGATGGAGGATTAAGAGGCCACACTCCCAGTACACTGATGGAGAGTTAAGAGGCCACACTCCCCAGTACACTGATGGAGGGTTAAGAGGCCACACTCCCCAGCACACTGATGGAAGGTTAAAGGCCACACTCCCCCAGTGCACACTAGACAGGGTTAAGAGGCCACACTCCTCCAGCACTGATGGAGGTTAGAGGCCACACTCCCCCAGCACACTGATGGAGATAAGAGGCCACACCCTCAGCACAGGGGTTAAGAGGCCACACTTCAGCACACTACAGTACACTGATGGAGGTTAAGAGGCCACACTCCAGTACACCAGTACACTGATGGAAGGTTAAGAGGCCACACTCCCCCAGTACACTGATGGAGGATTAAGAGGCCACACTCCCCCAGTACACTGATGGAGGGTTAAGAGGCCACACTCCCCCAGTACACTGATGGAGGGTTAAGAGGCCACACTCCCCCAGTACACTGATGGAAGGTTAAGAGGCCACACTCCCCCAGTACACTGATGGAGGATTAAGAGGCCACACTCCCCCAGTACACTGATGGAGAGTTAGAGGCCACACTCCCCCAGTACACTGATGGAGAGTTAGAGGCCACACTACCCAGTACAATGATCACGCCTCGCTAAATACACCCTCAACCTTGAGAGGGTATTTAGCAATAGTTCACCTTGGCCTTCCTTGATTACGTGTTCATTAACCCCTTGAGTACAATGACCTTTTCCCCAAGAGTAAGAGGTCTAAGTCATCATACTCAAGGGATTAAGTCATCGTAGTCACGGAGTTAAAAC